GATATAGATTGAGACCCCAATTATTTTTAAAAATCATGATTGATATGCACTAACTTCGTAAATATATATATATATATATATGAAAAAAAGAGAGAAGAAAATATCATATGAATCATTAACTAAAATAATAGTAAAAGAAAAGATAATACATTTATTTAGATGATAAAGATTAATATTAAATGTTTTTGAATTTTATTAATTTTTTTTCTTTTTTAACATAACTCTATACAACTTTCTGAAAGGTATTATTGTCAATTACAAAACACAATTTCAAGGACACTCTTAATCATTTAATTATAATCTTTTGTCTAATTTTTTTTTTTATAGAATTTAAAAATTAAAAAAGCATAGTATAGAATCTAAATTTTAATATGAAGAACTGAAGAACACGTGTGTAACCCACACATGGTGCATAACTCCTACAACATACCAGCAAAAAAATTTAATTTTTTTATTAGTTTAGTTAATTCATTTACTCAAATTTTATAATTTTAATTATTTAAATAAAATTATAATGAATTAATTTTAATATTTAATTACTCTACCGTGAGATAATACTTGATTCTTACCATTATAAGACAGTAATTGATACACATTTCGATTTAACACATTATATGACATATTCATTAAAAAATTATTGTTTTTTAGTTTGAAATTAAAGACAAACAAGTTTAATGATACAATCATGCATACAGGGTATAGGAGTTGATTGAATTGATTATATTTATATTATATTTTTAATGACTAAACTAAAAGTATGTCAAAAAAATATGTTAATCGAAGGTGTACCAATCATTTTCCTTATATTAATTGAAATCACTAATATTCTTTGTCACGGTGAAGTTAGCTGATCAACAATTGAGGTGGATATTATGAAGAAAAGCAAATACCAAGATGATACTTAACGTCTCATGAATCATGCTTCCTTTGCTTGCGTTTGCGTAGAATGGAAGAGATGTGGTTACGTTACGTTCTTGTCCTCGCCATTATAGTGCATTTTAGTCGACCATATCCATTAATCTTTAATAAATAGTGGTAGTAATAAAATGCATACATCTCTTGTTTTCCTTTGCACACTTTTAATCATCTAATTCTCTTAATTTATTATGGAAAAGATATATAAATCGATCATCAATCATAACAAAATCGAACCGAAAAAGGCATAAACAGATAGGCTTTTCGTATTCTTCAAATCAAATGTAAACTAGAGTCAGTTTTTTTTTGCCAGTTACTATAAGGTATCTATGTCTTGTACGCAAGACAGACAGAGACAGTCCATCTTGTCCATGGAAACAGACTTGTCTTGAAAGCCCCAGCAATGGGAAAGAAATTTAATCTGGAGAAAAAATAAATTAAAACTAAAATTTGGGTAATTAAACAGACAAGGAAACAGTAGCTTGTACTCAAATCAAAGTCCCTATGGCTCCCTCCAAATTTTATGTAAATTCTTTTTTTACCTCTTCTTCTACATGAAACAATGCATAACGTAAACAACTTTTTTCTGGTGAAAAATCACTCAAATTGAAAGCAAAAAGTAGTTATTCTCCATTTATTTTTAGTAAATTTATTTTTTTTATTCAATAAAGTAGAGTTGCAATAATTTATTGATAAAATTTGATATTTATTTTTAATTAAGTATTACTTAAATAAAAAATTTTATTTAATATATGTTATAATTATTTTTTAAAATAAAAATACAATAAAAATAAACATATTAAATAACATCCTAATAAAAAAAACGAACAATTAGATTTAAACACTTAAAATAGAAAAAAAGCTCTATTAAAAATAATAACATTTTAAATTTTAAAATAAGGTAAGTCGATCATTTTAGTATACTTCCTTTAAAAAAGAATACTTTAATTTTTTTCAAACCAATATTCCCTTGAAGAAGGGATATAATAAAAGGAAATGACTAGGAATCTTTATGACTAGCTGTGACTAATGGTGCTCTGTATTTCCTAATCTGATTCTTGAATATGACTGCATGAGTTGGCTACATGAATTGGCATGTTCTTCGACTTTTACTAGGGTTTTTGTATGAGTTGTAATAGAAAACAAAAATGACATAAATGCGCTTTGATTTTTTTTTTTTTTGACAATGGAATGCTTATAATGAATGTTACATTGCCTAAAATGACACCAAATCATCACGCGTTTTGCATATAAATTAAAAGGATTAATAAAAATATTATAAAATTACATAATTTTAATAAAATATTAAAAAACTAAAATAATTTTATTTTTACATTAAAAATAAATTAATTTTTAATAAATATTTACTAAAATAACCTAATTAATTTTTAATATATTTAATTTATTATTATTATTATTATTTTGACTAATAACTACTTTCCACGGGAAGGGAAACTAGGATTAATTGCAAAGAAGGTATAAAGCCAATTAAAATCCCTAAGCTTTCCTAAAATGCTCATTGTGATCCCTGCACTTGAAAAAGAATTATTAAAATTCCCCAATTTTGAATAAAAGGCCAACCGACATCCTCCAGTCAAACGAAGCTAACGGAAATGTTGACATGAAATGACTATTGCGCCCTTACATATCAGACCAAAATCTGTTAAAAAATTGCCATGTAAGAATATCATGTGTGGTCCAAATGGTCATGTTTTTCTTTATGAAAAGTAAGGTGAAATGCAGTATATAATCATCAGGTCGACTCTTCAACTGATACTCGAACAAATATTAACTTATTAACTATATTTTTACAATAATAATAAAAAAAAAGAATACCATAGTATTTTAACGGTGGAGTTGATGGAGGATTGGACGGTGTCATAACGTCCGTACATGAAGGGGTGATGGCTGGCCTTTTATTTAAAGTTCAGGTATTTTAATTATTATTTTTCAAGAAACAACGCATTTTTAACGAGTTTGGGAATTTTTATTGACTTTAATGCTAACCAAAAATTGAAAAGAAAATTACCAAAAGCGTAAACATTTGAGAGACTTTTGGTGATTCTGTTTCCACGTCCGTGCGTCAAGCATCATCAAACCCATTATAAATCTCACAACATTTCATTCAAAAATCCCATATCCATCAAACCCACTAAAACAATGGCTTCATTTTCCCCTCTAAAATTTCTTGCTATTTTGCTAGTCCTTCTTGTCTCACCATTGTCATCTGCAAGATATCATTCTGGGCAAAACACCCATGATGTTTCTTCTTCAACTGCTTATAGTTTGGCCAAAAAGCAAGCAGAAAGGCTGATCAAATCTTTCAACTTGTCCCCTAAAGACTCTGTTAGCACTATTCATGCCGACACAACTGCATCAAAATCAGAGGACGCTCCGGGGATTGTTGAGAAACAATTCAAATTCCCTTCAGTTTCTGGCCCTGGACCTTCTGTTCAAGAATTTGGTCATTATGCTGGATACTATAAACTCCAACATTCTAAAGCTGCAAGGTATTTTTCTTCCTTTCTTTAAAGAAAAAAAAGAAAAAAAAAA